TTTTTCTCTGTATCTATGAAGCGCCTTGAGGCGACTTATGTTGTGATTTGGCGCTATATAAATAAAATTGAATTGAATTGAATTGAATTATTTTGGTGTCATTTGTAAAAAGTACTTTTATGCCTTGCCGTTCGTTGAAAATAAATGAAATTTCATTATGTCTACTGTCTTATATTAACTAAATGAACTGAAATGAAGTATTATTGTAGGGTCTAGCTTACAATATAAAGTACCTTGGGGTGACTGTTGCTGTTAATTGGCGCTGTATAAATAACACTGAATTGAAGAAAATGTCTGATGCTGTTGGCCTGAAGCAGAGTCCTACCATGTCTCCAACAGAAACTGTGATGTCCTGCAGCACAGACAACAGTGTAGGTAATTTTCTCCTTCATTCACAGCAAAGGTTTCCATGTGTCCTGCCCCCTGAGCACTCTATCCAAGCTGCACGTAAACCAAACGGTTCTGACGGTGCATGTGAAGTGGACTATTGGATGATTTTACATAGTTTGACTTTACATAATTGGTCCCTGTTGTTTTCCAGCGCTCGTGCTTAAAAGGGCTTCTTTATGGTTATTTATTACTTTTTAATGTGTAATGAAGGTCTTCTTCATTGCTTGGCTAGATTAACATACATGAGTAATCATGACATTTGTGTAAAAGATGACAGTCATAGAAGAAGTCTGACGTGTTTTTATTGGTTATTTGTCTTCAGGTTTTTCTTGTTGGCAGTCCTTCAGTGAGTGCTGGTTAATGTCTGCCTAGGTGGGAAATATTACTTTAATATTTACCTGATGTGCATATAGGTAGGAGGGCCAAATTATATCCTAACTGAGTATTCTGGTGACAAGATTGTGTCTCACGTACATTTTCTCCCTGCAGAAAATCCCTGCAGTTTTTAGTTTGGTTTAGCACGTAACCCCAGATGAGGTTATGGTCGAGGGCCAGTTAGCAACAGCGCGCTGACATCAGAGGCTGCTGGAACCATGTCCCACCACTGGGCTGCATCGCTTTATTATGTGTTATGGTTTGGCATTGTTAATGTTGGTGAATAAACACATGGTCGGTTTACAGCTCATCTCTGCCTCAAGCCTCCTGTTTTAGCCCCCTAACATGCTTACAATTAGCGATGCTCTTCTTGGCTGTCTTTTAGCATCTCTGTGATCATTTTGTTCCTACTTGTCAACATTTTGGTGTCATTTTGCACTTTTTCCCCTCGTTTTTTTTTAATCATCTGAAATAGATCCGCCTCAAGGCATGTCCTGATATCCTGACATCCACGACTCATGCCACATCATCTAAGGTTGTGTGTGGTCATAAAATACACAGTGTGTGGATGTTGAAAGTCCCCATAGCTCATGCAAATCGGTGTTAACCAGTCCATTCACTGATACCACACATAAGAATGGGTACAAACAGCACAACTAGTGCCTTATTTTCTCAGTGTTCCTCAAAGGTGTAGTTTGTGTATTTTATATCTACATATTATTTTTTCTAATATTTACTTTAGTTATCTGAAACAATAATTAAAAACCATTCAATTACTCTCCTTACTTTTTCTTGTCTTTTCACAGTTCCCATCAGTCTCTTTCTCTTCGTACCAGCTGGGTGTGGCCAATCTCTCTAACACCATACACTAAGTGTGAGAAAGCAAAAGACGTATTATGCAATATATCACAACTTATACAGTCAATTCAACCTGCTTCACACTAAAGCATAGTAATTTAAAAGGTATTTAAACAATTATTTTATTAACATAGACATGAGCATAGTTCCCATAATAGCAAACTGCCCTGCAAATCAGTGACAGGCTAACCTCGAGCACTGATGTCTTCTAGTGGCAGTGATTAAAAACTACGTTCCAGTACAATAATTAAAGACTCTGATGTGTGGCTGACTGTGAAGCAGACAGAAAAATGCATCCTTATCAGAGTGTTTCTGTCTGACTTTGTGTGTATTTCTGATCATTTGGTGTAAAAATACCACCCTCGGACAGACCGAGGGTTTCCCTAACACAATACCCTCATTTCTTCCATAGCGTCTCATCATCATGTTGAGATGCATGTATCTGCTCATTGGATTGGTTCATACCCACAGCTCAAAATATAAAAAGGAAAACTATTTGTGGCTTTTGTGCTGGTGGTAACCAGACATAGAAGTTGAATGAACAAGTCAAGACTCAAATCTGTTTCTGAAGGGAAAACAGAAAAGTGTGGAAGTCCACGTCTGCCACTGAAAAGAGAAAAGAAACTGGCACAATAATGAAACACCTCTTAAAATGATTGTTTATTGTTTGTTTGTTAATTTTATTTCAATCATGTAAACAATATTCAGAAGTTCATTTAGCAAAGAAAAGAAAAAATCTATACAAAATAAAGAAACATACATTTTTCAATTGGCTTCACCTGTTCTGATTCAGTTACATATGGAAAAGGAGTTTATGTTTAAGTTTTCATAATCAGCACTTTGTGCTGCGTTATAAGGAAATCTCTAAATTATTCTTTAAAACGATGACATTATGATGACATTGTGAATAAGAAACACTTTGTGTTATATTAACATACACATCTTTATAATGACTTTTTTTAAAAACTGCCAGGGCTTCGATATTATTATGTTTGCACTGGAAGGTGTCTGGATAATGGCTGCACACAAGCGTCACAGGTTCCTTCTCACACAGCAGCTCTGTTTCCCAGCTTGCATGCCAAAGTGTACGTGGGCAAGATACGCAAACCTAGAGCTGCTCCCAGCGCATTCATGAGAGTGTGAATGTGTGTGAATGTTCGACAGAATGCGCTCAGGCACAGAAAAAGTCACTGAGGTTGGTGGTGTAAAGTTCAGAATAACTATATTAGAACCAATCCATTTACCACTGCACCATCCACCAGTCCAATAAAAAACAAACAAAAAAAACACTTGTTATTCAAGATTTTATATTTATGAGGTGGGTTTTTCATAATCATGATTAACTATATCATATATCAGAAACTATTGGTATAATTTATGTTTACAAATTATGACTCCTTTTATTAATATGATGCGATTGTTACTTATAACTCATGACACACATTTTTCCATATAATAAGACAATGGGCCATAATTAGGTGAAGCTGGCTTCCGTTAAAGTGTTTTTATTGATTTTGATGGGAGTTTGGGTGATGGGTGTGTAGCAGTGACTTCTACAGTCATTGACGTGTACAGATGTCACCTGATCAGGCTTCCAGCACAGGACTCGGTTTCCCAGGTTACGTTGCTTCTTGTGTGTCCGCCATATTGCCTTCGCCTAAACGCGCTGGCTGGATCGTCTCTTACAACTGAAAATGTAAGTATGGAAAAATGATGTTCCCAGCTGGGATCCCTGCTTCGCTCCTGTGTGGGAAGTTGTGGTTAAAAAGCTCCAGGCGTCAGTTTGTGGTTGTTTCACGCTGTTTTCTGGAGGCTGGACAGCCGCACAGCTCAGCTCAGGACAGCGGTGCTCGGCTCTTGTCTGTTGTTGTTTTCCCCTCTGTCACAGCCACAAATTACATTCGTGACTCCGTCCCGAGTATTTTATTGAATAACTCGTCGTGTAATTGTGTGTGCTATTTAAATGGAAACGAGATGAGTGTCCGCCACGATCGTGCGGTCTTTGTCACGGTCTGTGTTCAGCTCCTTTCTGGCGTTAGCGCTGCGAGGAGCAGCTAGCCTCTTCGGTAGCCCGTGGTTAGCAGCCGAGCACCGTGGGTTCATTGAAATCTGTGCTCGAGGTCTGCCCGTGAACAACAGTTGATAAGCTAACACTAAAAACTTGGTGCAAAATTAATATCAGAGTCGACTCAGCTGCCTGTGCGTTTGAGAAAACCCGTTTACACGCTAACAGCCGTAGAGAACGTGTCTAATTTGAATGTGTGCTGCACACAGGGTTTTGTTTATGGACACAGATTAATGATTGCGGTACAAACACGTCATGGTAATGTACTGGTCAACGCAGCCCCCGTTTTACGTCCCATTGTACTGTGTTTATTGATATTTTATTCTTCATATGTGGAAAGATTGTGTAGCTTGCCTTTCAAACCGCTCGTTGTGTTTTATGTGAACCACCCCCATTTTCACCTCTTTAGTGCTGGGTATCGCAATGCATTTTGGGTAGTCTTTGCCATGTTGTTATTCGGGCAAAACCAAAACAAAGACAGAGGCCAACAGGTAATAAGGAGCAAAGCTGCAAACACCCAAATGAGACGCAGCAGACAAGACAGAGAAATAAGGCCAAGCAGGGAGGCACAGAAGTCTAACTTGAAACTTATTAAGGTCTCCATTATCTGCAGCAGCTATTCTTTACATTAGGAGAGTACACTGTAAGACAGACACACATATATACAGTATAACATTCTGACTAGACAAACCTCTCAGACCCACGACAGAACAGCCCCATATAACACAAATAACACTGGTTTCTTGTATTATCTGTACATAGACGAACTGTTATTAGGAGTGATCCGTATGCCCAGGTTACACAACCCTGTGTGTCGTGAGCACCAAACACATCAGCTCAGTTAAGAATTAGAAATTATTTTCCATTTTTCAGTGGAGTACCACCTAATCTGCGTGGAGTCGTTATAGCGACCCCGTGATGTCATTTGTTTGCGTGAAATGTGAAATGCCTGCTGTTTGGCGTATGACTTTTCGTCAGACACCACAGTGTTGTTTTTTGTGTGTCCTTTTCCCTTGTTGTCCACTTTCGGTTTGGATTATCGCGAAGGAGTCGTGACTCATCGAGCGACTCTATTGACCAGCCCATTGATGGCAGTCTATTGACAACACAATTTCAGATAGCTTGGCCAAATAAGTACTAAAAAAGTATCTGGTAACAGGTTCTAACACCCAATGGAAAAGCCTAAAAACCGAGTTGAGTTGAGCCAAGCCGATTACTGGGGTATTAGTACCTGTGTGGATACCAGTGAGAAGTATACAAGGGCTTCTGTGTGTCCGAGGTGTCATGATGGTACCCACTCATAATCATTTCATAGATGGGTTTCCTTTAAGGATCACACTGAAGCGTCTAAATGTGGGTGGGCGGTATAAACGGTATACGGTAGAAACAATATGAATTTGGCCAACAGTTGAGATTTTGGCTATACCGCTCTACCGCGATAGCGCATGTTGATGTTGTCATCAAGCTGCACCTGTTTTGGTCGAAAGCGTTGCAGCGGCTGCAAACAATATCATGTGGAAATTATGCCGGGCGACAGTCATAGTGATATCTTTGACTGCCTCACACACTTCTGAGGATTTTCAAAAGTTCTTTACTGAAAAAATTGATAATATCAGAGCACATATCCCGCTCCCATCCCACGACACTTCTGAACCACCTGCATGTTCATTCTCTCCAAATTTAAACCAGTTTTATTATCCCATCTTTCTGATATAATAATGCCAACTACATGAAACCAACTACGTGCCCCTTGGATGTGTTACCTACGCCATTTCTCAGAGATGTGCTGAAGACAGTCGGCCCTAACATCCTCGCTATTGTAAATGGCAGTATCTCAAATGGAACTGTTCCTCATTCGTTTAAACAAGCTGTTGTCCAGCCGTTTCTAAAAAAACCTGGTTTGGACCCGTCAGTTCTTGGCAATTTTAGACCAATCTCTAAGTTGCTATTTTTGTCTAAGGTTTTCGACAACTTCAGTAACCCTACAAACTAGGGCTGAACGATTATGGAAAATAATCTAATTGCGATTTTTTGCCCCAATATTGCGATTGCGATGCGATATGCGATTATTTTTTAAGGTCTTTGTCTTCTGTATTATTAAACAAAGACAAGCAATACATCATATAGTATGGCCAATACTATATTACATTAATTTTAAACTGTTCTTTCCTGGAAGACAGACCTCTGTTATGATGCATGAATTGATGACTGACATTTTTATTTAACTTCTTCAATCACAACAGTATATTTGAACATACACAATAGTTTATTTTTAGCTTACAAACATCTGAGCATAAAGTGCTGACAAGGAACCCTGGTGTAAACATTAAAATGAAAGTCAGTACAATGTGCAGATTGCAGAAATATACATAAAAAAAATCAGTGGCTTTACCACACTCAGTTTTTCGACATCTGTGAACTACTAGACAGTCATTCAATAAAAAAATAATATTAAATAAATAAAACTAATAAATAAAAAATGCACACATCTTACTGATCTCTGCAGTCAGTAACATTACACATAAAGTGCAAACATAAAATAGCAATTGTATAAACACACACACAAACACGCCTTTAAAATTTAAAGCCGTGAAATTGGACGGTCTAGTTCTGATTAGCGTCACCGCTGTCTCGGTGGAGTTTAATAAACTCGGCCGTCTGCTTCTTGCTATCTAAAATATAACCAGACACTGGTGTAAATTCTCGACTGTCTCATACTTCTGTTTAATAAGTTTTCTGTTTGACGTTTAGTCAGCTGTGTGAAAACCAAGGAGGAACCCACCCGGGGGATTAATAAAGTTTTATTTTATCTAATCTAATAACTTTAATCTCAGCCAAACCGATTTACTCACGAACAAACAAAACACTGAAAAAAGCCCAACAATAACATTTTTAGGTTGTCTAAGTGACTTATATATTACGTTTAACCCGAGCAGCGAAACTCCGCGGTGATCTGAAAATGATGTGCCGGGAGTTGTGCCGTTCTCGGCCGCATCAGTAACCCTCGAGCTCCCGGCTAGCTGTCGAGCTGGTGGGTAGCAGACGCCTCTGAAAACGTCGAAGCACTTTTGCAAATATGGGATATCTTGATAAACCGAGCAGATATTTGATGTTTACACAACTACTTTCTCGCCTGAAAATATTTTAAAAGTTTATTTTGTGACCCAGAAAGATTAGTAAGAGTAATTTTAAAACTTAGTAGCGGCCGCCATTGCTGGAAACTGGAGTTTGGCTGGGCCGCGCTATGAATTCTGGGATATGGTAGTAATTTGGACAGCCTTCGGCGCGTCGCTGTGACGTAATCGGTCTACAAATGCGGCCTCAGGAGGATGCAGCCCATGAATTTGGACATGTCCAGAGTATAATCGCAGCCTTTGCGGTTAGAAAATTGCACTTGATCGTGTTGCGATATTATCACAAATGCGATATATCGTTCAGCCCTACTACAAACGTCGCTGCTGTTTAGTTTTTTGTCCTCGTTTATGTTGGAAGTGGTAGCAGAGCTGTACGTTTTAATTTTCTCAGCTAGCGAGCTAACTTCCTGCTAACTTCTAACTCCGTTGAATTTAATAAATTGTGTTTTCCTGGATGTTAAACTTAATTGTTACACCTGGTAGAGCAGCAACGCTGATCATTTTATTACAGATGAAAGAATTTACAGTTTGTAACTCTCAGTGATGCCGCAGTGTTTGTTTGACTTTGGGACCTGAAGAGGGCGGAGTTTTGGACCCAGATTACTCCGCGAGGCTCCTGAAAACGGCAGCCGTAATACTCCGACAATCCATCAAGCGGTGCGGCTTCGTAGCAACCAAAGTCGTACTAAAACATTTTGACAGATTTCTGTAGCACATAAAATCGGTTCGAGGTCAGTAAGCACAACCAGAATTCATACATAAGGTGCACCGGATTATAAGGCACACTGTCGATTTTTAAAAAATTAAAGGATTTTAAGTGCGCCTTATAGTGCGGAATATACAGTATACAGAAGAAAAGAATATATCGTGAGATATATTGTTACCGTACATGCTTCAAATTATACCGCGATATGGATTTTAGGCCATATCGCCCAGCCCTACGTCTAAATAAAACAAGACCATAAAGCTTCCTAACAACCCTATTCCATCTAAAGAGTTACATTTGTTAAAATGATAACATGACAATGAAATGCTGTTGAAGGCGATGTTTCCAACTGCTATCCAAGAAATGCATTTTACTGGTGCAGTGACTTTAGCTGCTTCAGTCTGCAAAGTATAAAAACCTCTTAGTCCTTTCCATGAATGGAGACTATAAAGAGAGCGCGAGAGAGACGAGTCCCTCCAAGAGTCCTGAATTAAAGTCTGAGAGAAGTCAGCACCCACAAGTTTAAAACAATATTTTAATCTGCATGTCTGCCTGTCAGCGACACCTGAATATTCCCAATGAGGCACAATAAAGGATATTCCTATTCTGTTCTGAGCTTAGATGGGGATTTTATAAAATAGACACTGTAAACACATTGTTTTCTAATTCTATATAAACTTACTGGCAGCTTAATTTACTATGAAAGGTATAAGTAAATAACTATAATAGAAAAAAAGTACAGAGTAAGACCGTGGATCAGTGTGATGTCTCTGACAGTGCTGTGTTTCATCCAGTCGGACAAACTGGGTGAGAAGCTGGACTGTGTCAGATGCCAGCGCTAACACTAATGTCAGTGTGTTTATGGTAAAAAGTTTTGCTGCTGCTCATGAGGAATGAAGGGTTTGTGCGTCCGTGTTGACTTCTGCATTAATCGCAGCGCTGATGTGCTAAAGCAAGCTTTGAAGGAGACAAATCGTGGCTTCCTGTGCGCTGTGAATCCAGCACGGTGAACAGAGGTCAGCGGGCAGTGAGACCTTTTGGTCTTCTGCTTTCTGATTGGCTGACTTCCAGTCCCATTCCCTTTCCGCCCAACCCCCCACACCCCCCACCAACCCGACTCCCTGTCCACCAGTTTTTTGTCTTTCTTTCTGGTTGTTCTCCTTTTTGGATTTTTGGTTCATTGCTGAACTTTTATTTTACTCATTGACATTACAGGTTACATGTTTATGTGTGACAATAGAAAGTGTGCTGTGCTTACCATTAATTTGGAGTGAATAACTCGTTATCATTGATTTGCAGAAGAGTCTCCATTTTTCCTTTCTGTTTTTCAGAGTTTCAGTGATGACTCAAACAGTTCAGACCAATGGGGTCCAACCCCTCAGCAAGACTTGGGAGCTGAGTCTGTACGAGCTACAGAGGACTCCACAGGTAATCACTAACACCACCTCATCACAGTCAGCCTGTGGCACGGCTGTGTTTGTGATTGTTAGGCCTGGTTCGTCTTGGTGCTAACCTCAGTCTGTGTGTTTGCTTCTGCCACAGGAGGCTATCACAGATGGCCTGGAAATAGCGGTGTCACCCAGGTCCTTGCACAGTGAACTTATGTGTCCTATCTGTCTGGACATGCTGAAGAACACGATGACTACCAAAGAATGTTTGCATCGCTTCTGTGCTGATTGCATCATCACAGCTTTGAGATCTGGGTGAGTGCACGGGAACACCTGAGTAATATGACCGTCACAGCTGGACAGAGAGGGCGGCAGTTAGGGCTGCACGATTAATCGTTAGAAAATCGCGATCTCGATTCATACTTGTGTGCGATCTCATTTCCAAATGACAACGATTTTAAAAAAAAGAAGAAGAAAAAAAACGACGATTGTACCGCATTTTGATCCGGGACGTACTCTGCATGAAAACAAGCGCTCACTCTTCCTGCTCAACAAATGACGAGGGCGGAGCCTTATACCACGTGATACAGAAGCTGTGCCGTGTGATGCTAAAATTAGCAGGAAAAAACAACGGAGAGCACGTCAGGGATGACGAGAAAGTGACAGGAGAAAATCCGTCCCGGTCAACCACCCAAACACCAATAACGGGAACCTTATACAGCGCTTCCCTATACACGTCGACCTCCCGCAGGCACAAAGAAACTACGGAGGCTATCACTTATCACCTGACCAAAGATATGGCTCCATCAACACTGTGCAAAGCGAGGGATTTAGGAAAATGATCAACACCCTAGACAAACGCTACACAGTGCCGTCCCGCAACTATTTTTCTATTGTTGCACTACCTGCTCTGTACACGCAGCGTCGAGCAACGGTGGAGACGGAATTTCAAGCAGTGCAGCATTTTATTGTTTTTATGTTTATTTATTGTTTTTATGTTCAGTCTCAACTGTTACGAAGTTGATGTGCAGTTAATAAGTGCAATAAATATTTATACTGGAAAAGAGAATCGTGATCTCAATTCGAAGCCAAAAAATCGTGATTCTCATTTTATGCAAAATCGTGCAGCCCTAGCGGCAGTGAAGTCACGGAGCATCTGTGCAGCCTGTCGGGAAGCCTGTGTAGCCTTCCATGATTGGTATTGGCTGAAGCGAGCTTTATTCAAAGGCCAGAGTTAACGGCCAAATTTAGCCCAGGAAATTAGTTTTAACTTTTTATCAATGAGTTGCTCTTTCCAAATCCACTCTCTCTTTTAATGGCACTAAAACATGGCTAATAAAACACATTGCACCTACCCCACAGGATATTAGCATAGTAATAATACAGCAGTGATACTGGTTCAAAAAGCCAAAGCTTCTCACCTGAAGGTTGATGTGTGAGTGACCATCTTACAGTCACAGCACCTGCTTCCACTCACACTTACAGATATAGGCATTAGGCATGCAGATGCACAGTAACAGTCCGAGCATTGTCTCATGCTGATGGGCTAGCACGGCCTCAGTGTGGTATGAATTTTCCTTGTTTTTGATATGCTGTTTTCACATACTGTCACTTCGTCTGTTGTTGTTCAGGCTTTCACAGGTCATGAGTTTTGCTTTCATAACACCGATACAGACGTTAGAAAACAACTGAGATGTTGTGCATGATTACCTGTTGTTCATGTGGAAGTGGCACTGATGCCGTTTGCTGTCTCCGCAGTAATAAAGAGTGTCCTACCTGTCGTAAGAAGCTGGTGTCCAAGAGATCGCTGCGTCCAGACCCCAATTTTGATGCTCTGATTAGTAAGTGATGTCAGGAAAGTTGTGCTTTACATCCACATGTTGATGGTTTCTTATGCCTGCAGGAAGAACATTTTGTGTCATTTTCACATTACTGTGGAAGAAGAAACATGGCAGCATTTGAATAATGAAAGCAGCAACAAAGATCAATCCATAAATAAGTGAATAGATTCATCAATACACCTTTGTTTCCTGTGACACGACGCCAGCAAGTGTTCAGTTACACAGCGATGTTGCTCCAGAGGTTTAAATAGTGCCAACTGCTTATTTAAAAGTGCAACAGATGTAGGGAGGAACGAGACTTTCTGCTGCTTTGTTTTCTTTGCTCTGTACCGTCTCCCTGAGAGTAACGGCTCGTACTGCAGAAAAGATATGGGAAGGATCATTAACAGTTTTATGATCCTGATGAATCTTTTTCATATCTTTACTGGCGAGACTGGTTCTCTTTGTAGTCTTCAAGCTAATTTCTCACAGAAAAACCCAACACAGCCTTTCCATTTAAAAAAAGGTATCCACATAGATGCCTGAGTATTCATATGAGCTAACCTGCTGTGTCGTACACCCATCAATCCCCACTGAGTCATGTGCACATCCTAAGGTCAAAAATCATTTCTTTCGTTTTCTCAGTTTTAAAAATCAGATGATGATGATTACAGCACAGTATGAAATCACTACAATCAACAATTCTCCAAAATCACTATTTGGTTCATACTCAAGTTTTCTGTAGAGAAACATAATACAAAATAAATGTTTTTTAAACACAGCCTTCATTAATTTATTGTAATTGGATCATTATGTAAAAACAAATTGTTATATACGTGTACTTTCAGACCTGTAAGACACAGACAGTCTGAAAACGTGTGTGTATATATTATACATAGTTATTTCCTGTTTATTTACGTGTGGACATGGTGCGTGAAGTCTTTCGTGGCATTTTTCTACTTTCAGGTAAGATTTACCCGAGCCGTGACGAGTACGAAGCCCACCAGGAAAGAGTTTTGGCCCGCATCAGCAAACACAACAACCAGCAAGCCTTATCCCACAGCATAGAAGAAGGGCTGAAGATACAGGCTATGACCAGGTAAAGGACGTGTACAAATGCTCCAAATACTCACATTAAACTCAGTCCATTTCAATGAATGCGAGTTACCTCTGTGTCAGACTACAGCGTGGTAAGAGACACACAGTGGAGAACGGCAGTGGAGCTGAGGATAATGGAGACTCTTCCCACTGTAGCAACGCTTCCGTCCACAGCAACCAGGTATGATGTGGTATACATGGATGCTTTCTGTGTACCGCTTAAGCCTCTTTTCCACGTGTACCTGTTTGATTCAACTGGACTCGATTTTAGGATTTTCCATTAGGTGTTATTACCTGGTACAAGCTACATGCAGAACTTTCAGGCCTACTGATCGGAAGGTTGGTGGTTCGATCCCTGCCTCCTCCAGTCTGCATGTCATGTATCCTTGGGCAAGATACTAACCCCAAGTTGCTCTCCGACGCATCAATTGGCGTGTGAATGTGTGTGAATGTAGTTAGAAAGCATATAGAGAAAGTGCTTGTGAGATTGGGTGTGATTGGGTGAATGTGGCATGTTGTGTAGAGCGCTTTGAGTACTCCGGGAGAGCAGAAAAGCGCTCTATAAGAATCAGTCCATTTACCAATAGGTACTACTGGAACAGAGGCATTGGCGTCTTTGTCTTCCTTTTCTTTATTTTTCATGTAGAGCATGACTAGGGCTGGGTATCATCACTGACTTCTATCATCGAATCACAAAGTCCCCATTGATTCAGTGTTTACTCAGTCGGAAATATTATAATTCTGATCATTTACATCTTACATTTATGTCTGTGTATAAAAACAAAGCTGACACTGTGAGACTTCATCAGAGCATCACAGCAGATGTCTTTGTGTCAAAGTAACTGAGGATCAAACACAGAAAAACGTGAAGAGATTTTCCTGTCCTGGCTTTTTACAGCAGATAATAGGGCTGCACAATTAATCGTTAGAAAATCGCGATCTCGATTCATACTTATGTGCGATCTCATTTCCAAATGACAACGATTTAAAAAAAAAAAAAAAAAGGAAAAAAAAGACGACGATTGTACCGCATTTTGATCCGGGATGTAATCTGCATGAAAACAAGCGCTCACTCTTCCTGCTCAACAAATGACAAGGGCGGAGCCTTATACCACGTGATACAGAAGCTGTGCCGTGTGATGCTAAAATTAGCAGGAAAAAACAACGGAGAGCACGTCAGGGATGACGAGAAAGTGACAGGAGAAAATCCGTCCCGGTCAACCACCCAAACATCAATAACGGGAACCTTATACAGCGCTTCCCTATACACGTCGAACTCCTGCAGGCACAAAGAAACTACGGAGGCTATTGGGGTTTTTGGGGGATGTTGCTAACTCCGGGTCCGATAACAGGCACCACACCCGCAGTAGATGCGCTCGGTGTGAGGTCTCGCAGCAAGCTATCAAATACGGCGCGTTTCTCGGCTTTAAAAAAAACCAGTCGCAAGGTGTTTGATCAGATTCGAGGTGTTACCTCCTTTGACAGTATCAGCTTAAAGCACTTGTTGCTGCTGAGTTTGCATCTTTTGTTGTGAAGTACAGCCAGACTTTGACCGCTTCGCTTTGGGCATTTTTAATCTGTAGCTCTGCTCAAAAGAACGTACGTACCTGGACCCGCCTACTATCCTCGGAAACGTAAAATGATTGGCTAGAATCCAAAGTGTATGACATCTCAGGAAAAAAAAGGCACCGGCATAATGGCACCGGATACCGGTACCCATCCCTACTGGTACCAGGAGCTGTTATCTAATGGGAAACCCTGAAAAGCGTGGCGAGTCGATCCGAGTACTAATGGAAAAGAGACGAACACACGAGTGTGAGGACCACAGTGATTTTTAGGATGGGTGATCTCTCTTCATCTTTAACTGTGGTTCTGTAGGAGGCCGGGCCGAGCATCAAGCGCACCAAGACAAGCGACGACAGCGGTTTGGACATGGATAACGCTGCAGAGAACGGGGGCGGGGACTCGGTGATTGATGGTGGTGCCAGCGAAATAGAGCTGGTCTTTAGGCCACACCCCACCCTGATGGAGAAGGATGACGGTCACAACAGGTAGTCAGACATTGCTGCTGACACATCCATTTCAATATAATACACACCCTACGTTAGCTCTGAAAATCCAGTTCCTGCACATATTCACACGAGTGCTTTTGTGTCTGCACAGTGTGGAGTTTGTCCCTCGCTACATAAAGACATCCGGTAACGCCACAGTGGATCACCTGTCTAAATACCTGGCTGTGCGACTGGCTCTGGAGGAGCTGAGGAGAAACGCTGAAGCCAGTCCTGTTAATGTGGAGGCAGCTTCAGAGAAACAGTACACCATCTACATACCTACAGCTGGAAACCAGTTCACTGTGAGCACCCACACAGACACACTCAGCTTTACTAAACATATAGCTATCCTGTCTTTTTCACTGTGATCCACACAGACGTGGACTGAAGGCTGTTGTCCCACAGACTTCTGTAAGACCGGAAAACTTTTTGCACCCACAGTATGATAATCTGGTGGCCATTAGTTTTAATTTTTCCAACCCATGTTTTTCTTACAGTGTTAGGGGCTGGCACAAAAATAAAACAAGTTATATAGTATAGCATTATTATTAGTATACCAAGGTTTAGCTTTGTGGTTTTATTTTTAAAGTGGAAGAATTCATGTTGGCTGTAGTCAACGAGGCACCACACTAGGGGGCGCTAACCACTTATTCCCTTTTTTTAATCCTTGAGGAAATGATGTAAAACACTGGCACTTGGCACATTTGATGTAGACGTACGATGTTGTAAAGGGATGTGCACAAAGGTGAGACAGCAGGTTTAGCTTTTCTATGTGCAAAAACAGTTCACAGTAACAACAACAGATTCAATGGCTACATTCAAAATACTGTGTGTGTGTTTGTGTGTTTGGGAAATGACGTGTTGAACTCTGTCCACAGGTGCTGAATGGTTCCTTCTCCCTGGAACTGGTCAGTGAAAAGTACTGGAAGGTCAACAAACCCATGGAGCTCTACTTTGCCCCTACTAAAGAACACAAGTAGACGGCCAGGAAAACACACACACACGTGCGCACACACACACACACACACTCAGAGGAAAATCAAATGCATGGACATGGATACCTGTGCGGCACACAGAAACAAGAGCAGAAGTGTATTTCTGAAGGAGATGAACAGGGTTGACTAAAACCCTCAAAAGGACTCTTGTACATAGAAGAAACCCCTTGTTTTATATTATCTGTATCCGTGTTGTTTCTATCTTAGTATGATGTAGCAGATCAGAACAGCAGCCGACAGACTGGGCTGCTGACAGTAACTGTGGATTCTCTCCAAACAAATCCAGGGTCCATCTATAGCGTGAAGTTAAAAGCACATGGTATACTGTCTTCATCTGGATGGCCTTTAGGCCGGGACTCGTGGGTCTGTTTGACTTTGGAAACCGCCCTGCATCACATGGGTGACATGTGGCTGGGTTTAGGGCCTTAAAAACCAGGACCAGCTCTGTCCAAACAGTGTAGGAGCACACGATCACTCCCAGTGACCTCCAGGATATCAGAATGATGCGCTTTGTTAAAATGCCTGTGAACAGTTTGCCATGCATTAGTGGGCCATGTACGATGCATCCGACATGCATGGAAGTAAATAAAAGCCACAATGTGAATATGTGTTGCGTTGAAATGTGTTTCTGTTAGAACACTCTTCTATATATAATTATGGCGGCACGGTGGTGCAGTGGTTAGGTCCTGAGTTCGACTCCACTGTCCAGCCTTGCTGTGTTTTGTTTGTGTGGTTCTCTCCCAGTACTCCCAGAACATCACAGTTGGTTAGGTTAACTGGTGATTGTGAATGGCCCACAGGTTTGAATGGTCGCTCGCCCTGTGACAGGCCTGTCCGGGGCGTGCCCCGCCTCTCGCCCTGTGGTAGCTGGGATACGCTCCAGCATCCCTGCAGTCCTGATAAGCGGAAGAGAATCTTGCCACGTGTGACTGTTAGTTTACGTGAAAATGGAAACAAACCAACAGATTTGGTCGTCTTGTCACGGTCACAAAGTTGACGTGTACAGCTAGTTTATGAACCCTGATTTGAGTTGGAGAATCTCAGTTGCCCTGATCTGTAGGAACAAACTGTCTTCTAATATCTGTGGCTGCTCTCTGTCGCTCATCCTTTTATAAATGTCTTTTGTAACAATATGTGTGATCGGAGGCTTGGACAGTTTGACCTTTACAGTATTTATCCTGTTTGCTGAGGGTGGCTGTCCATCACAGGGAGGTTAACTCGTTGCTCTCACAGACACATCCTGGAGAAATCTTTGATACAGTTTGTTTCATTTTCCACCCAGCAGTCAGGTTCCTGAGTGTTCGGAAGAGAAACTCCACGGAAAGGGTGATTCCTGAGTGAGTGCGAGTCTAAACGTGTACCGTAAATGTTGTGACTTTGTCAATTTGTGTTCAGACTGGTTGCCAGTTGGTACATTTCAACAAACCACAAACATGTGCAGAGTTTGAGCTGTGCTAACGTGAGCTCATGCTCTGTTGCATGGACACTACTTGTGAGTGATTACTGAAATGTGTTGATGAGAATGTGAAGGGAATAAACTGTCAGTACAGCTTGTGTCATGTCATAAACTTGTTTTCACTGATGGTGGGAAAAGGAAGTGTTCAGACACAGAACATGGAAATGACTTGGTTTCATACAAATATCATGTTTGATATCCTGTAACGTGTTTTCCGTCTGTCTTTAAAACCTGCAGCTGTTAAACAAATGGTATAGCACAATGCCATGTTTCTGATTAATGTATAGTATGGGTTATATTAGAGGAGTTGGAGAATCTGTTAATTTAAATAAATGGAAGTGCTCTGCTCACTGCAAGTCAAAATGTTATTAGAGAAACGTCTAAATTATGGATAAAAGTCGGTGAAGCAAAGTTTATAAAGTTTAGAACGACTCATTTGTTTCCTAAACCTTGAAACTAAAAAACAGCAAACATTCTTTCTTTGGATGCAGCTCGTCTCAGGTGACGATTTGCTGCTATTCTTTCATTCGAGTCGATAACCAGAGAACGATCTTTCTGCACAGTAAGTATAACTTGGGTTCTAGAGAGTGTAGATGACACTTTACTCATTTCTGCCGTTCTAGAGAAAAAGGTAGTTAAGCAAAATGTAGCAGCTGAAGGAAAAGTAGAAACTAGCTGTTGCAACTAACCTCAGTGCTTGAGCAGATACCGTTTCGTTTTACTGACCTATACATTATTCTGAATAAAAATAGTTTGAGCAGAAATCAACATTGGACTTTTGAAAGTCACAGAGGAGCGTGACTTTCAACTTTAGCAAAGAAAATGGTCCCATTTCACAAAATACACTCACCATGAGAGAGAACCCTACGAGTCACAGCGTTACTCATGTTTCGTTTAGGACGAGTGCATCTGATCAGCAGTGTGTGGAGCTTGTATACTGCATCCTTCTGTTTGGTCAATAAAGCTGAATCTGAGTTCAACATGGAGCACACGGTGCTGTTTCTGCTCTGTAATCATGTTTGACATCCTTTCAGTTCAGTGGAGTCCAGTGTTACATGACCTCGGCATAGAGCTGAATACATCAGTGTAACTTCACATCAAAGGTATTTTTAATGAATTGGATTCAGTTGTCATATTAAAGTTTTTCCCCTGAACATTGGCTGATTCTATCATTTGTTCTGCTACTTTGTAAATAAAAAATATCAATAATTATAGTCATTTGTTAGAAACATCGCTCAAAATACCAGAATGTTAAACAAAAGTAGCTTATGTTTCATTTAATGATGCATTTAGTTTTGGCACATGTGGCTCTCCATAGACTCCACTGGTTTCTTGCACTGAGGAAGCCAGACTGCACCAGTAAAACAGTCCTATAAAGTCTCACATCTGGATGACACCCATAGATGAGATGGTGTTTTACTCTAGCCTGGTGCACAACAAACACTTAAACTTGAAATAAAACTTATGAATATTATAGTAAGCACGATCATTATTTACAGGCATATCGTGTCTAATATTGAAGAGTTTCAGTCAGGTTTCAGAGCTCATCACAGCACAGAAACAGCTTTAGTGAAGGTTACAAATGATCTTCTTATGGCCTCTGACAGTGG